ATGAAGAGCAACATGCCCAGCGCCTGCACACCCCGTGCACCCACCATGCCTCCCACATGTACGCACCCAGCACACCCCCCCACCCATTGCACCCGTGCTGGGGTGCACAGCCCCCACTCCGGCAGACCTGCTCAAGCGCTGCGACAGCCTGCCCCGGGTCTCATCCCACCTCTCATGGCAATGAGACTCTCAGAGGAGCTACAGCAACTTTGCACCTTCAGCTGGCAATGCCCAGCTGGCACAGGGTGCCCGCGCCGGGTGCCCACGCCTGCCAAAAGCAATCTGCTGTCAAGCCCTTGCCTGGAGGTAGCGTTGGGCATCGTGCCCTGGTGCAGGGACCAGCACCGAGCCCAGGGCTCCTGGCCACTGCGCTCGACCACAGGTGGCTACCAGCAGCCACTGAAGGTGCCAGGCAGCTTGTCATGGCCTCAGGGATTTCAGAACTGTGAGGAGCAGCTCAGCACACCCCAGGAGCCTGTTCTGCACATCCCCGTGCTCCCGCCTCCTCCCGCCCTCCCCGTCGCGCTGGCTCACAGACTGCGGCATGTACCAGGACTATCATGTCCCAGAGCTCCTTCAGCAAGCGCAGCTCCCTGCGGCACGCTCGGAGCTCCCTGTACTTTGGGACCGACATGTCGAACAGCCCGGCTGACTCGGACAGGGCTGCTATGTCGCTCTCCATGGCAGCGATGCTCTTCTGTTGCTGGCCAGGGGAAAAGAAAAGGTCTCAGATGGGGACTGTGTGCCGGGGACATGTCTCCTACCCAGGTGGTGGTTCTGTCTCTGCTTTGGTGGGAGGGAGACCTGAGAGTTGCTGCCACAGGGCCAGACCCCCTCCGTCGAGCTGGGGACTGGACCCGGAGCTGGAGTGGCTGCCCCTCCCCAGCCCTGCTGTGTAGCAGCACCCGGTGCACAGGGCCGGTAGGGACAGTGGTGGCCCTGGCATCCTCCCCTTCCTTACCTTGTCCAAGGACTTGTAGGGGTCTGGGTCAGCGTATGAAAAAGGGGCTTCTTCCTGGAACCTCTCCCGGAAGGCGTGCTGCTGGACCTGCGCAGGGAGGAGGGGGTCAGGGCCGGCAGCCGGGAGTTGGCAGCTGGGGAGAGCGGTGGGGAAAAACCCCCCCGAGGCGGCCGAGGAGCTGCTCGCTCGCCCCCAAGCCCCAGGATAGGCACCTTGAACTGCTGGCACTTTGTGCGGATGACGTTGACCTCGGCTCGCAGGGGCGCTGCGCTCTGCTTGATACGCAGGCAGAGCTCCTTGGTGCTGTCCCAGAGCTCGGGGAGGTCCTGCAGCGAGCACGGCACGGTGTCGGCAGCCTGGCCCCAGGGAGTCTGTAATCCAGCCCCCCCGCACCCCAAGCAGCTCAAGGCACCTTGAACTGCTGGCACTTTGTGCGGATGACGTTGACCTCGGCTCGCAGGGGCGCTGCGCTCTGCTTGATACGCAGGCAGAGCTCCTTGGTGCTGTCCCAGAGCTCGGGGAGGTCCTGCAGCGAGCACGGCACGGTGTCGGCAGCCTGGCCCCAGGGAGTCTGTAATCCAGCCCCCCCGCACCCCAAGCAGCTCACTTGAAGCTGTAGGTGGATCTCCTCCGGCATCTCCTCTCCGTAAGAGCTAAGCAGGGCAACCGTCTCCTTCAGGGGCTCAAACATGCTGTCGATCGCTGCCTGCCTCTCCTTCACCCTCATCAGGTGCCCCATCACCTCCACCAGCCCATCGCGGTCTCCCTCCTCCAGAGGTCTATTCAAGCCAGCATTCACCTCTTGGATGAAATTCTCCAGCTCCTGGAGACTGGGAGGAAGGTGCCGGCGCTCACCAGGCATCCCCGGCGGGGCTCACAGCCACCCCTGTGCTTGCTCAGGGCTCGCCCTGCAGGGCACAGCCCCCCAGGGACTGACCCCCATGGGGGTGCCCGGCACCTTCACCCACACCTCCATGGCTCCATGCCTGGGGGAGCATCCCTGGCCTGATGCACAGTGGTGCCTTTGCCACAGCCCAGCCAGGCTCCGGACACTGGGAGCGTCCTGTCCCCATACCGGAGCTCACCGGGCCCCTACCTGGTGGTGACGTGGCTGGCGAGGTGCTGCCGGAGCGCGAGGCCCCGGTGCCGAATGGTGCCCAGCAGTGCCTGCTTGAAGGGGCGGCAGTCGCTCTGCAGCCACCCCCCAAACACCTTGGTGTTCGCGAACCCCGACACCTCCTTGCACAGCGCCTCGCACGTGTCAATCTGGGGACGAGATCCAGTCACAGCCCGTGGTGGCACCTCCCTGGGCACCCAGCACCTCCCTGAGCACCCTGTGCCCTCCTGGGCATCGGGTGCATCCCAAGCACCCGGCACCTCCCCAGGCACCTGCCCCACTGCTGACAGAGCTGGAGGGATGGGGTCCCATGAGCTGGGGACTCCTCTGGCTGCAGCTCCAGCTCCTCAGGACTGGGTGCTTTGCCCCAGGCAAGGAAGTGCCGCAGGAACTTCCCGGGGTCCTCCAGCCACAGGTGGGTTTGCTCCTTGAAGCCGGCGCTGTACTCCTCACCTTCCATCATGGCACTGACCACCAGTGACACCACCTCCTCCTGCATTGTGCTGAGATCCTCCTGCTCCTCCAGGGTGGTCTGAAGGGACGGGCAGAGCTCTCAGGGACCAGCTGGTGGGACTGGGTGTCCTCACGCACCTCCATCTGAGCCGGGAGGTGCCGCCTGCTGTGGACCAACCTTGTAGCTCGGCTTCCCCTCCAGCAGCCGGGGCACGCACGCCGCACACGTGTAGGCATCGCTGAGCAGGCTCTCCACCAGCTCCAACAAGCTGTTGTCATCTCCCTGCTCCAGCGAGGGACTGTACCGCACTCTGCCATCGCACAGCTCCATACGCACCTCCAACAACGGGGCCACGTTGGCCTGAAACAGGTCAGCGCCCTGCGTGGTGCTTCGAGTCTGGCACCCCCCCAGCCCCCAGCCCCGTGGTCCCCCCACAGCGGGGACAAGGGGGGACACTGGTGCGTCCAGCGCTCGCTGCCTGGGTGCACCAGGGAGCATTGGGATGGGCACGTTTGGGCACTAAACAAACGCCTGAAGAAACCAGCAGCGAGGGGTGGGATGTCCCACGCACGGGTGACACAGGGGCACCGCGCTGCCGGGCAAACCTGGACCTACGTCAGGGGCCATGTTGGTGAGGCAGCTGCAGCGACTTGTGGACGAGCCTGAAGAGTCTGTCCAGCACAATCCCGTCTATGTATCCCACATAGTCCAGCCATATCTGCGATGACTTCTCAGCCTTCAGCAGACCTGCGTTCTCCTGCAAGCAGAAGAAAACCACCAGGATTTGTCAATAAATACCCAGCAAACGTACCAGCTCCTCACACTGCGAGTGCATCCTCTCCCATGGCCCCTGCGGGTGCGTCCTGCCTGGCTGATCCTGAGCCCTTCCCTTTCTCCCAGCCGTACAACACCAGAAGCTGCAGCAAAGATCTCACCCGAGAGGGCAGTGGAGCCCACAGGCAGTGTTCGATGCTCTGTCACTGGAACCTCATCTCAGCGGAGACCACAGGATTGCACCCCAGGTTTGAGTCCGCCACTCACAGGTACAAATGGGGGGACACCCTGGGGCTCAGGGCATCGCAGCATGAGAGCCCCAGACATGCTCCTCGTCAAACCAACTCCAACTGAGGCCTCCTGGGACGTGTCTCACCTCCACCATCTCCTGAATCTTTACGCCTGCCTCCCTAATGGCAGCACAGCGCTTGGTTAAGGTGTTGGCTTTCCTGTCCAGGTCCAAAAGCGCTGCCTCCTTCTTGCCCTTCCTTTCAAACAAGGGAGCAGCTGAGCACTCCTGCAGGGAGAAGATGACAGGGCTGCTGCACTGTGCTGGGGAAAGGTAAATCCCTGCAGGAGGCGTCCCAGGAAAGCCCTTGTAAAGCACCAGAAAAAGCTACCTCCATCAGCTGGGTGATGTTTTCCACGTTTAACTTGGCTTTCTGGACCCGGGTCTGCAGGTCGTACAAGACATCTCTCGTCTCTCGG